CCCGGCGTGGCCGGAGCCGGCGGCGGCATCCCACGGAAGTCGGTGGAGCTCTGCATTTCGGCCGGCCGGGACCCAGCCCTTCCGGAGCGGGGGGGGTGTAGTGCACGATGCCCGTGCCTCACCATGGCCCTGAAAGTTCTTCTCCACCGTCGGCATGGCGCCTCTGCCGCTGAACTCCTCCGCCTGGTCCACCAGGGCTTCCTTCACCGCCTCGTGACCACACAGCACCACGATGGGCTTGGACCCGAAATACACCGTGAACACCGGGCCGTACTGGTCCCGCAGCTGCACAGCACAGGGGAGCAAAGGGGGGTGGGGAAAATCCAAGCAAAATGCCGAATCCCAAACCCACCCTTTGTGTTGGGATTGGGCACCCAAAAATTCCGCCTCCCCTCCCGCCCCCAAAAAACCCTGCCAAAAAGCAGCAAGAAGCTGAGCGGAAACCAGACACATTCTGGGCTTGAAGGGGAATTGTGGGGAAAAGAGCTGCCAAACATGCAGACTGGCTGCAAACCGACACGCGAAAGCTGTGTGTGCTTGTGCTCTTGTGAGTCTGGGGGGGACGTTCTGGAAACCCAACCTTTGAAACGTTGGGTTTCTTGCCCCAGCCCTGTACTGGGCCATTCTAGGGAAGCAGACCTGGCCACAAACAATTTTGTTTGCTTGAAAACACGGTGTTCTGGTGGGAAACCTTTCCCTGGCAATCTCTGCCAGGCGAGTCCCCTTTCTGGTCTGTGCTGCAGTGGCACCCACGCCCACATCGCTGGAGCCGCGCCAGGCGCTGGACAGACACACCGCGGGGAAGGAGTCGGGAAACTTGGAAACACAAACTCTGTTGTCAAGCAGTTGACACGGCAAAGGACCAGCAGGGGGCGCCCTGCTGTCCCCGGGGGCTGGGAGCCCTTTGAGGACCAGGGGCTTGGACCCTGGTCTGCTTGGGATTCACAGTAGCCAGGCGGGTACCTCCGGCGATTGATGCACAACTAGACAGAGGCGTTGGTGAGCTGATCGCTAGCTGAGTGTGTAAGAGTACAGGCAGACGGGGTGTACAAACAGGCCGACAGGCAGATGCAGTGTACGGGCTAGGCAGTGGGATGTAGTGTCAGTACCTTGCTGGTCGCTATGCTTGGGTTGTGGGCTGTGGGCGACCCCTACTGGCCGGTGTCCGGAGCACAGCCCAGCAGGTGGGCTGCCTAAGACCCAACCGGTCTGACCGGTTGAGGGCAGCGAGGGAACTAGGAAGTGAGTGTTTTCGGGGGAAGAATCTGTCTTGGGCATGAAGGAGACAGTCTAAGGAGGGGACTGGAATCTAGGGGCCCAGGGCCCCATCTCAAGGGGTCTGAGGCATCCTGGCCCAGACTCCTGTAACCACATCACGTCTGTGTTGTGCTGTATCCGGGAGAAGCAATAAACCCTCCCTGTTCTACCGGCTGGTGGAGTCTGTTCTTGCTGCTACGGGGGTGCAGGATCGGAGGGACCCCGACTCGCCGTCACAGGCAGACAGGCAAACGCAGTGTATGGAGATATGTGAATAGGCAGACAGACGGATGGGGTGTACAGGGCTAGGCAGACAGGCAGACAGATGTGGTGCATAGGGGTAGGCAGAAAGACAGGGTGCGTGGGGTAGACAGACAGGCAGACATGGTGTATGGAGATATGTGGACAGATAGACAGACAAGGCACATGAGAACAGGCGGACAGACGGATGGGGTACATGGGGGTAGACAGACAGACAGAGGGTTAGGGTGTGCGGGGGTAGGCAAACAGGCAGACAGACGGGGTGTAAGGAGGTAGGCAGATGGACGGGGTGCGTGGGGGTTGGCAGACAGACACACAGGGTGTAGGGGGATAGGCAGACGGAAGGGGTGCGTGGGGGTTGGCAGACAGACACACAGGGTGTAGGGGGATAGGCAGACGGAAGGGGTGCGTGGGGGTTGGCAGACAGACACACAGGGTGTAGGGGGATAGGCAGACGGAAGGGGTGCGTGGGGGTTGGCAGACAGACACACAGGGTGTAGGGGGATAGGCAGACGGAAGGGGTGCGTGGGGGTTGGCAGACAGACACACAGGGTGTAGGGGGATAGGCAGACGGAAGGGGTGCGTGGGGGTTGGCAGACAGACACACAGGGTGTAGGGGGATAGGCAGACGGAAGGGGTGCGTGGGGGTTGGCAGACAGACACACGGGGTGTCCAGGGAAAGGCAGACAGGCAGACGGATGGGGTGTTCAGAGACAGGTAGATGGAGGGGGTGGGCAGGGACAGGCAGAGGGGAGGTGAACAGGGTATGGAAGGAGAGCTAACTGGCCTGTGCCCAGGGGGACAGACAGACAGACCTCCCAAGACAATCGTCCCCCCCAGTAGCCGGCCCCAGACCCGCTCTCTGGCAGTAACGCCAGGGATGTCCCAGCCAGGGATCGCCCGGGGACGGGCGGCTCTCGGCAGCGTGTGCGCGACAGGGCTGGCCTTCGCCCCCCTCCTGGGAACGCCCTGGCCATGCCGTGGGTGGGAGCCTGGGGCGGGCGCGGTGCTCGGGGCCCCCGAGGCCCAGGG